CTCTCTTGATATATAAATAGCTGTTATGTTTGTCGTACAACACCTATTTTGATCTTGTTCCTTTTGGATGAAGGATATTTTCATTCCTTTCGTGTTACCTGACCTGTTTAGTAGGTAAGTAACCTAACTTCCCCACTTCTTCAATATGCCTCCAACAACTTCACCCTGTTCGACTTTTGTTTTCTTGTATATTTAATGAGGGAAATAGGTATTAGGGAACGGATGTCCTAGGCCAAGAGTGAGTGTAAATATACGGGATTTTGAGCTAGCAAATATATGTAGACTTATTGTTCCATAAAATTGACTATAAGCGTGTTGGACAGATATTTACATACATAAGCATAACCATAGAAAACACTCCTCCTAATTCTCGCACATTATATAAAGAATATACAAATTTCAATATAATATATTGTTTAGTGGTCTATTCAAGCGTTTCAACATTTGACAGCGATGCACCGTTTTCAGAGAATATCACTTATAATTATTGTTATTCAATCTGTTGTTCGATATGTATCCTCCAAAAACTGTGTGCTGTCTCATGTAAGAAAATTTACAGTCTCAAGCTAGTTACAATGATTATATCCATTACAGTACAAGATTCGAACTTATATAAAATTTACACTTTTTTCCTATAACAAAAGTACATTTATTTACAGTTTGGCTTACACAGGTTATTTTTCAACAACTTGACATACATTTCACATGTAGGTATTTCCTAGTAGTCTTTCACGAATGCATGTCTAATGGAATTATTCAGCACAATATGAAACCTATTGCTAACATAAGAATTTGTGGGTAGCTCAACATCACTCGGCATTGAGAACCATTGATATGATTGATTGTCGATGACTTGGTATAAATCAAGCGTATGGGGTCGAAATATATCGAGAAATTGCTACCCTGTATATGCTCAAGGACGTTTATACCAAGCCAGATGCGTATATTCTCATCAGGCATACCGTTAGTGAAAGACCAGAGTAAAAATCTGCAAGGCTGTCTCTTGGAAGTTGTCTACATTGTTTATTCAGAGTTTTCTAAGTGATGGTTTGTTATTTTTTCACATATTGCAGTTATTGATTGGACATGAAATAATACCGTTTATTTCATTTTTCTAGTTTTGAGTCTATTTTTACGATGAAGTTTTTATTTTTGTTCTTCTTCATCTAACTTTCTGTACAGGGTGGCTATATTTAGTTGTCCCACTATTACTGTCTTTCGAACTGTTAGAGATTGTAGATTAAATCTGGAACTTTATACTTATGTTTTGTTTTTCGAAAAATCAATTTTGACGCAGAAATCGCAAACGAGCACTTAACATGGGCTTAGTGCTGTGCAAGAGCTTAACTGAGTATTAACCATTAGCCGCAAAAAACGCTGATCCGTTTAATTGACGGGTCGAATGCGATTATACTTGATTCTACCCCATCGAGCTCTAAAAGCCCGATAAAAAAGAACACCTTGGGGAGAAGCCGGAGCTAAACAACGTGGCGAATAATATAGGATTTTTGCTAAATAATACGAAAAACTGTAGACTCATCGCTGGGTAACTTTAGCACCAATTATCGTTTTTTTTTTTAGTTTTCAAATAAAACTCTTGTTCTGTATAATATAATAAACTTTTTACCATATTATACATGGCGCCGACCCAAATTATACATATATAATTATATACCTAATTATACACATCCAGTTTGGAAATATAAAAATGCTAATGTTTCAAAGCAATTTTTGTTTGAAAAAAAGCGATTATAACCATCACAATTCCGATTTTGATAGACAACGCTGATATTGCTGATAATAACCTCAGATGTTCTGAGATGACTGTTCCATTTGATCCATTTGGGATTATGATTATGAAGTATCTGAACAATTTTCTGATAGATGAAATGAGAAAATGACAACAGAACAAATCGTTTGACCTATGAAATGACAAGAACATGGAATATTAGAACGTGTAACAATATGACATAAGTATTCCTAGAAACTTTTGCATTCTGTGGGTTTCTTTAGCAGCACAGCACTCATATACTTCGTCTCGCCTGATTGCTAGCCTCGGCTGAGCCTCGGATATGAATTTGCAGGCTGTACTATAATAGATAGTCTTCAGCTTCACCTATGTAGCATCAAGAGAATCGAGAACCAGCTTAAAACTCATTGGTCCAAATATGGGGATAACTTCAAGTCAGTCTTCTCGAATAGTGTGTCTATGTGGCTATTATCAGCACATTATGGCCACACCTTAGCAATTTTTATTATCTACCGATAATTCCATACCGGTATATAATTTATGTTAATCCGGATGCAGCTGATTTTCACTGCCAATATTTTTTTCACACTTACGTAACATGCAAAATATATTCGATGTGAAATGTACTGGACACGAACAGATCGTATATTATTCTTTCTAATGCTATGGACGTTATTTTTATGATCGTCGTGCTACATTTTAGCCCATTAAATGTTTCTAATTGTTTTACATGCAACAATGTGCATTTTATATATTATTCATTATACAGTGTCCACCAGGAAGGTATGAGTGATTTGGAAAAGACAGTCACAAATATATTTCCGAACGAATTTTAGCCTATGTCTCAATAATTATGAACCACCCCCGTTTATTATGATGTCAACTATCGCACTCTGTATATAAAGGTGAACGGTCTTAGGAAAAGTTCGTATAGTTTGGTTTTTATTTGTCTAATGAGTATTTGCTGTAGTTGGAATTGATACTTCTCAGACTCCCTGTATATGTATTGTGTTCAATGTTTAATCAAAAATTGAAAAAGTTCCAGTTGATTAATTTGAAGCATACAGACAACTTCTAAGAGCTATAGCCTAGGGCCTAGAAAATATAGGTCTCTCGTCAACGGAAATTCGTGTACAAGGTGTTCAATGAATGCCACCCTTTGTTAAGAAATTTTCAGACCCTCCGAAATTGATCTTCTGAATAAACACATTTCAGAATAATTCATCTACCTAGAGATTTTGAATGAATATTAAAGAGGTCGTGCGTATATTTCGTTCATTATTCCGCATTTTCTGGAACTTTCTTCCTCGTTTCTATAAAATAAAAATTTGGATATTATTTCAATATACGTGTAGTAAGGACAAATCAGATGATTTGCCCCAAAATGCCACTGCGTTTAAAGAATTTTCCTATCAGAGAGCCTGAAAGAAAAATTCACTAGCTTGTCAGTGACGATTTGTATTGAAAAAGGTTTGGAGAGAGGAATAAAGGTATAATTATGTTGTCCATCTTCAGTAGGGATATATTCAGTTGTTTCAGTTGCTTCAGTATCGATTTGCCGATGTGTCTTTTCTTTATATCCTTACTGAAGATGGACAACATATGGCAGAATGAAATAATATTAAAATCATTGGAGAAGACATAAAACCAGAAGAGAAAAATCGAGGAATCTGCTTACATTCTTGTGAACGGAGACAATAGCATTGCTTCCTGTTCAGTTGATATAGATGGAACATGGTATTCACTACTGAAATTTCAAAATAAATTCAAGATAAATGAAAGAAAACATCCTGTAACTTATTTGATTGTCAACGTCACCAATTGTCACTGAGAACTGAAAAGTGAGAAGACATATACGAATTTGCTATGCAAATATCTATTTTTTATGTTGAAAACGGGAGCAGATATGTTCCCGAAACGTCCAAAGCTGAGTGAAAATTTGATATTTTTTCTATATACCTACCTTTATTTCTCTTCTTCAAACCTTTTTCAATACAAATTGTCACATACAAGCTAGTGGATTTTTCTTTTAGGCTCTCTGATAGGAAAATTCTTTGAACGCAGTGACATTTTGGGGCAAATCATTCGATTTGTCCTTATTACTGGTATGTTGAATTAATATTCCAATTTTTATTCTATAAAAACGAGGAGACAAAATCCCAAAAAAATCTGGAATAATGAATGTACCACCTCCTCGATTAACCTACAGACAGTATTAATCATTCCAGAATTTCGTCATCTGACAGGTTGCTGAGGGGCAAACATTGTGTTTTGTCAAGATTTGTCATATAAAACCAGAGTTTGAACCATAAAGAATTTCATAATTTTGTTTGGCGGAACTGTTATTTTATTGTGGATATGGCAGGGTCGGCCAGGGCAATGCTCATCAGAGGTAACCTAACAGATAGTTTGTGTGCCCCTCAAGAAACCATGTCAAAATCACGTGTTCTAGAATGATCAATTCAATGTTTCGTATTTTTCTCCATTCAGGAAATCAAAATCTGAGGAAAATCAGAAATGGTTGCGCTCCATTGAACATTTTGCACACATACACCTATTAATCATTGTCGGTACAGCGGTGACATGACAAATAACTCGGTTCATGTTTCAAAAGCTTCCTGATTGTTTTATAATCTGGGTAGAGGCGGTAGAGGCCCTGATCTCGTCTCGTTACCTTTCTAATTTTGTACGTGAATTTAAATAATCATCAGTTTATAAAGGATAATTAGATTTGATTTTGAAGAAATTCGCCGAAGTAGGTATATCTGAAAGGGAATGATGATGGGTTAGAACATTTCGAACATATACATATATACAAAGTGTTTCGAATTTCGGGATAACATTGTTCTGTCGAACATTTTATCGGATTATCATTCTCGAAAAGTTGAATACGTAGTTCATCGATATTGAACACATAACGGGATCTGAGTGTGATTTGGCTAGTTATAATTTAAAAAAAGATTTTTTGTAACATGAAACTTTTATCATCATCGATGATTTCTCGAGAACAATTTATGTAATAGTAGATATTTTATATGTTCCAAATCACATTATCTACCATCTCCTTCCAGATAAACATCGGTGAACCAAACACCCTTCATAATATAATATACTCTCACGAACTCATCTTGGCGAGTTACGTATACAGGGTGTTAGAATATGACCGACAAACTTCTTATACGCAATCCTAACATGATTTTGACGTGAAAAGTTCCCATCAACATATTTCCTACGTAAGAATTTCATTTTTAGATTTCGTTAACCAGTACGTATAGTTAGAGTCGTATGTCGCCACATTTTCCTTCATAGTACTTGTTAGACAGATGAAATGTTAGACTGGTGTTCAACATGCCCAAATGTAGAGGTTCCTGAGATATTTGCGAAAAACTGAAGAGGTAATGTTTCAATACGTGTTCAATAAAAAAAACTGTGATGCCTAACTTTGTTCACATATTCAACAATTATCATCTCAAACAGCTTTTTCCAACTACTTCTCACTCACCCCGTACTATGTTTTCAATCAGAATTCAAAGATTAGCATTCTGCGATTATGGCACGTAGAACATTGGGTCTCTTCTCAATATCACCTCAACATATCTTTAGATTTTTGCAAATATCTCAGGAACCTCTACAATGATCAATCAGAAATAGTATACCGAGTTTCAATATTTCTGCTACATGTATGTTCTGGAGAAATTAATATAAACTGTATTTTTTTGTACTGTTAAGGATGCATGATAAGAACTCTTCACCTCAAAATGAGGTGAAGAATCTGTATACGAAGTTTGTCGGTCTCATCTGACTCGCCTTGTATATCTCAACAGAGAAGTTTAGGGAGAAATAATGTTTTTTACCTATCAGTGTTCCAACGTAAAATCAGGGTCGGTCCAAAGGTAGTCACATCGAATTCTGAATCACCCTATATATATTTTCGAATTCTCAAGAAATGTTGGCATAATTCTTGAAGCACAAAAAAATGTCGAGTTACTTTTGAACATCAAAACACCCAGCTACAGTTCAATAGGAAATATACATCAGGGTGTTAGATTGATGTGATAGGATATTTCAAGAGTGAATTCGTTGAAAGGTCGAGCAAGAATCAAGCTCTGGTGTCATTGAACCGAGTTATTTAGTTGGCCGTTGGACCATCTTATCTAAAAATAATTTCTCCATCTTACAAAATGCGTATACTACACACATCCTTATATGCTAAATTATCATATCAACTCCGGATTTCTCTTCTAAAAAGGGGTGCCACAAGCTCCTCTTCTACTAAGTGGGACCAACTGCTTTTTTTTCACGTTTTTTCTTTTACAAACCTCTTCCGATAGTCTAGAGCGCTCCCAATAGCGCCAGCATCCATATTAGAAACAGCAGGAGGCCTGACGAAGGTATGAAGCTTCCGGAGGCTCCTATTTTGCTCAGGTAGGTGTTGACGCAAGGGGCCTCGGCTGAACCTGCAACAAAAAGATCCATCATCTATCTGGTAGTAGAAAGTATATGATTTGATCGATATGAGCTTTTCTGACGATTCGATTCAGTTGATGTGTTCATTTCTGAAAAATCGAACACTTCAAGTGGAACTTGACGATCGACGATCTGGTACCAAGCTCATTGAAGCTAGGGTTCCTCAGTGTACAGTTTTGTCGCCGTTGTTTTTTCAAGCAATTCGCCAAGGCCAGTGATGTGCAAGAGGTCGCTTTTTGCTGATGATACGGCAGCTCTTGCATATTCTTCAAATTTCGCATAAGCAGCTATGAACCTTCAAAACGCGCTGAATTGGCTTCAGGAGTTCTTCCTTAGATGCGGAAGATCAGACTGATTCATGCAAAAACACAATTGGTTGCATTCGGAATGGAGCAGATACTCAACGATCTGAAACAGAATCCTTTCAGGGAGACTATAACACACTGGCAAATACCTGGAGGGCTGCGACAGGCCAAATTCTCTGCGGCAATTTCAATGGCGAAAAATCCAAGACTTATTAACCTATAAGCAAGAGAAGTCTCACGTCAGTAACGGAATTTTCATGGGTACATCGCTGACTTAATGAACACCTAAGGTAGCTAAGAGATAACTCCTTCAGGGAAAGTAATACAATGGCAAATACTCCTAAGACTGAAGCAGGCAGAAGATCTCCGAGGGATTTTTAAACGAGAAAGGGCCAATACTTACTTAATAGCCTAAACAAGAGGAGATTCACGTAACGGTATTCTTAAGGGAGCTACGCTCATAGAACAGCACCTATAGATTCTGCGGAGAAATAGAAATAGCTCTCCATGTCATATCAACATCATATAAGATCAATTAGTGTCTAGGATCGTATACTAGGTATAACTAACTCATCAGGATATTAGAGCTTGAGAGGCTGCTATGAACAAGAAGTCCTTCGAAGATGACAAAGACAATGATTAAAATAAGCAAGTGGAGGCTCACGCTCACGTCACGTAACGGGATTTTTATCGAGGCATTGAGAAGAGGTAGTTATATTGGCAACTGCACCAATACCAAAAACAATATGTGTAATTATTGGACGATAGAAGAAATTTGTATTTCAATAATACGTGGATCATTGTAAAATATGATTTCGTTTCAATACAGCCACGAAATCAATTAAACGTGATGATGCTCTTGGCAAGGGCCATTAGAGTGAGGTATTTTATTTGTCGAGCACATAGGGTGTATGTGTCTGACGGCTTTTATGTAGGATTTATGGTTTATCATACACGGTATATTAGCTATAAAGGGGATAGTCTCTAGTCGGTTAATTGTTTTTTTAGTGGTCATCATTTTGTGATTGTTGTCTGCTGTTTCACCATAGTATCCACCAAATCAATAGTTTTCTTCTGAAGAAATGATATTTTGAGAAAAGTATTGGCTTGACTTTGACATTCCAAATCTTATCGTGATGGCGCTTTGTATGTTTATCAACCAATCGCCAGTCTAAATTGCGAAGTATGTAGAAATCATGTCTATTTTCTTTTTCCCCCGATGTGGAAGTATGTTATTTCCATTGTTTTTTTTAATTTGAATCGAACAAAACTGGAAGACAAATGTATATCGACTATGTAAATTATTTTTAACCTCGATCTCTGTATGTTATTTTCTCCTGATTCGTCCAGTTGTCCACAAAACTAAATGACCTGTCCTCTCTGGAATAGTTCTATAAATAGAGCGAGACAATATCGGATGTTTCCCCAATTAATGCACGAAATTGGTTTTTGATGATTAGGTATCCAATGACAAAGGCAAATAATGGTGCTCACATGGAAGATTGTTTTGTACGAAGGCGTGAAACGGACATGCGATAGAATGTAGCCAACTATAACTTACTTCAATTTCGGGTTATGAAAGTAGAACTAATTTTGAGTTACAACTCGTTGGTACTGGAACTACAACCCACGTGGCTTAGACTAATATGACCCAATTCATAATTTTTATCACTAATAGATACCATTCAGTTTGTTGGATGACATATTATGTATATATTTATCTTAAACTAAAAATCATTAGTCTCTGTTCTCGGTTTCTCGACCATAAGACCATTGTTCTTGGTGACAGTCCTCACATCGAATTTATCTTCGGATTCGTCTTCCGACGTCATCGGTTCCAGCAAGTCGTAGTTCGAGCTCTTCCCGAACTTGACTTTCTTCTTTCCTCTTCTTCTCCTCCATCTGCATATCCCCACATAGGCGAATCTAGCACCAAATCCCAAAAACGCAAAGATCAAACCTACTACGCCTGCATACAAAACGGCATCCATTGAAGACCACTCTGTGACGTCTGCGTTCTGCACTAAAGGCGCTAGAGTTGGTCCAAGTACCGACAACTCTGTGGTCTCATCGGTTGCTAGGTTCTTCAAACCGTTTTCTAGAGTCCTGTTGAGGTCGACGACTTCCTCGTGAAACACCACCCTCCCCAGCCAGTCAGCTAGCTCTCCTTTTCCCATTTGCTTCAAGCGGTGCCCTAGTGCCTCGTGGGTTTCCCCTTTACCTTCACCGGGTTCGGAATTCCAATGATGCAGCAGCTCTATACAAGTGAGGTCTGTTGGGACCCTTCTCTCAGCCTGGTCCAGGGAATTTGGTTCTTGAAAGGACTTGAAATGTGCAGCTGCTACAAGCCTTCTGCATTCTTCTGGAGTCAGATTGTCTGCGATGTATTGGAACTCAGCAGCATTCATGTCTATGGTTGAGTTAGCTAAGCTGAGAAGGAAGCTCAGGGAAGTTAGCGAGTAAAGATATGCTCTAGGCCACATAATGGTTCGAGAAGGTTTAGGAACCATATTGGTCGAGTTCTAGGTTATAGTGACGAATTCTTGCTCGTGGAACATTATCTTCTTCAGCTCATTGAACAGTTCACTGTTTAGCAGTTGCTCCAGAGGATTTTTTGATACCTCTCGATTTGCGCTTTTCCCACTATGTTCAGAATTGAAGTTATTCAGCAGCTGAGAGGTAGGAGGATAGTTTTGTTCTGAGGATTTTGAATACACCGTTACTAGCCTTTCACCTTCTTCAACCGATTGCTGGTTTGTCACCTATTGCAACTCAGAAGTGTCGATGTTTCTATTTGCACCGTCTATTTTTGGAAGAAGCTCAGACGTGAGCACTTCTTGAACATAGCCTTGGAACCATAATATTTCACTTCAGAACATTCGTCGAATTATTTTATGTCAGATGATGACATTAACTGACCAGAGTAACAGATACCATTTATTTATATTTATTTTATTGGATGACATGATGACAACGATACGTATATATTTATCTTAAACTGAGAATTATTAGTCTCTCTCCGTGGATACCTTGGTTTTCCGATCATAGTGCCAATCTCGAACTTGATTTTCTTCTTCCCTCTTTTTCTCCTCCATCTGTATATCTTCACAAAGGCCAATCCAGCTGCAAATCCCAAAACCGCTAAGAATAGACCAACCACGCCTGCATACAAAACTGCATCCATCGATAACCATTCTGTAACGTTTGCGTTCTGCGGTCCGAGTACTGACAACTCGGTAGTCTCGTCGTATGCAAGGTTCTTCAAACCATTCTCCAATGTCCTGTTGAGGTCGACGACTTCCTCGTGAAACACCACCCTCCCCAGCCAGTCAGCTAGCTCTCCTTTTCCCATTTGCTTCAAACGGTTCCCTAATGCCTCGTGGGTTTCCCCTTTACCTTCACCGGGTTCGGAATTCCAATGATGCAGCAGCTCTATACAAGTAAGGTCTGTTGGGACCCTTCTCTCAGCCTGGTCCAGGGAGTTGGGTTCTTGGAAGGACTTGAAATGCGCAGCTGCTACAAGTCTTCTGCATTCTTCTGGAGTCAGATTGTCTGCGATGTATTGAAACTCAGCAGCATTCATGTCGATGGTTGAGTTAGCTAGGTTGAGAAGGAAGCTCAGGGAAGTTAGTAAGTAAAGACATGCTCTAGGCCACATACTGGTTCGAGAAAGTTTGGGAGCCATAGTGGTTGAGTTCTAGGTTAGGGCTTGCTCGTGGAACAATCTCCTTTCTAGCCTCTCAGCGAGCTCACTGTTCACCACTTGCTCCAGAGGATGTTTTGGTACTATTTGATTTGTGCCTCTAAGTGATTTCACATGTTCAAAATTACAGTTATTCAGCAGCTAAGATGCAGTGAGATAGCTTTGTTCTGAGAATTTTCGATGTACCGTTACTAGTTGTCACCTTCTTTCTGTAACTCCGAAGTATCGTAGTTTATGGTTGCACCCTTTATTTTTGGAAGAAGTTCAGAATCATTGTATCTATGTTTTCGAAATTAGTAGAATGATTTTATGTCAGGTTAACTGACAAACGTCACAGAATTATACCTCAATGTGAATTCTGACAAGTTTGAAAAAAAGTGACAACATTGTGACTGTTCATTGCTATGTTCTCAATGTCGTTGGTCAGATCTATTCTCCAGAGGTATCTGGGGCAAGAGGCTCACTTGAAAAATCTTTCATATTTATTAGAAGTTCCTACTCATTGATAACTGATGTTCGCTTAATAAACATTTTATATCAGACCTTGACATTAAAATTTATATAGAATAAAAATACAGTATATAATAATAATGATTGTAAACCATAAACCTTTCAAATTATCATATCCCCATAATTACTTATCCACATTTTCAAGATTCTATTAGAATCATGCCTATATATCTTAGTCATTACACAATCAATCTCAGCTAAACGATACCTACTATCCATAGTTTGGCAGATCTTCCTCAATCGTTATTCGTTTATTTATTTCAAAAATGTATCTCACAAGATGAATATTTGAACAAACTATGAATAAATTATCGATGATCACAGATGAGCAGAATACCGCTGTGGGATCTTTAACGAAATGAAGAATAGTTGAATTTGAAATAGGACTATTCATCATGATATTGTCATTTCGGTGCATACTTTATATCATATGTCATACTATAAGTGCTATGCTGTCTTGCCGGAAATATTC